GAAAACTCAAAGCATATGCAAACAGCTGCAGTTCAAATAGCATTGAAAAATGTATCAATTTTTGGGAAATGGTACCGCAGTGTAGACAGCGTTTCTTCATAATTATCAGCTGCTGGCGATATCGTTGCGACCATTACTGTCCGACTGTTGCCACCGAGACTGTCTTTCAGCAACCTATATTCCAATGATATTTTAATGATTTTAAATGCCACTTCTAAAAAGACCAGGAGGTTCTGTGTAACAAATCCAAAGTGGAACTGGAAAAAACAGACCAGGTCAAAACCGAATCCCTGTAAGGTATAAATTTAGCTTTCGAACCAGCACTGGAACACGAACGCTCAGCGAGGGCTGAAATTACCATACCCAACGTCGTCAGTGATCTGAAATACGAAATTTGCTACAGTATTTACGGCACACATGATGCAAATACCTTTGGAGGAAATAAACTTCAGCAGCGGGTAGACGTACTCGATGAGTTGGGCTTCGAAGCAGACTCGGCCAACGCCTCTTCTGCTAGTAAGCCCATATCCTTCCAACTTAACATAGCGGAACGCGTGATCAGTTTAACAGGGATACGATACGATCAAATCAATTGATTGCTTAGTTTACTGGTTAGAAATTTTAGAATTAATCTGTGCCAGTAAACGGATGAATTTGTAACGGCTCTCATTTCTGGTAAGCATGCTTCTCGACGAAATTATTGTGAAGTACGAACTTGTTGATACTTCCTCCTTCCTCGAGTCGCTTCCCAACAGCACCCGTTTTCTGAGCGCGCTCACTTCCTGCCAAATCCACCAGCGATATTTTGCTCATCTTCTCACCCGTAAACTGAAATTTTCGCAGTATTTTATATTTGCCTTGATTAGTGTCGCACAATTTTCAGTAACTGTTTCTCGATAACTTACGTTTTTTTGCCACTAAATCATAAGTATTACGCAGTATCATAAGCAATTTTATAATGTGAATTTCCTGATGTCACCGAGATGCATCTACAAAGTAATTTTCTGTTTCAAGTAACAACACCCAACCGCTACTCTGAACCGCTGCTTTTGCTTTGGCAGCGGTTCAGAGTAGCAGCTGGGTGTCGTTATCTTTTGAAAAGTTGCTTTGTATTCCAGAAATGGCATTTAATGTCTTTCGGCATGCATCGGCTGTTAGCAAGCCTCATGACGACGTCTTATGTGCTTGTCGTAGTCATGCAGAAATTGACGCGGTTATTAAAATTCAGTGCGATATTCTTCGTATCTTTCTAGTCTATGCTCCAGTAGCTTCTACAGTTACGGAGAGCGATCATTTACAGCCTTCATTAGCGATTATGCCACTATTTTCAACATGATGATGCTACGGAAGCGGAAATTTTTTTTTTGATCTGATATCGGGAAGTGCACTAATTTGCATGGCAAGTTTTGTATGCACAGTCTCCGGGCATTGCCTATAACTCATATGCGTTATATGCAATGTTATCAGGATATCACTTTGAGGTGTCAAGCAGTGAATTCACAAGCGGAACATCCTCATCATCTGCATCGCCCTCATATGTTAATTTCTAAGTTCACTTTCCTAATCCACGCATTAACTGTCCGCAGCACCTCGTTTCCATCGTACATGCTATTCGCACACAACTTC